AAAACATTAGAAATAATGTATAGATAAAGGATAATGAGTCCATCAATGGTCAATTGATATTTTTTAAAAATTATTATTATTATTATCAACTTTTGACTTAACATCTTCCCACTTTAATACTTAGAATAAGAAGATATAGTAATTAATTAATTAGATTTTTATAACAATTTTATTTAGTATAGAGATAAAATGGTAATTCAACTTTGTTATTTGAAGCTTCGCACTTTTAATAATAACAGTACTCTACCCCATGTTAATTTGTGTAGACTCATTTTGAATATATATTACTATAATGAGTAATAAAAAACGTAACTGTGGAAAATATAAGTTCATTTTTCCGAATAGTCTAAGTGTGTAAAGCTGTAGGTGACCAAAAATATTGAATACAAAAGGAGTCTGTTATAAATACAAATGTTAATTAGAGAAAACTGATTGAGAATGTGAAATAAATGTGCATTTATAAACATTACCAAAAGTAATAAATAAAATGACACTAGATACCAACTATAATAAAGCTTCTGATTTTGTAAAACTATATCACAGGTCACAAAGTAAATAAAAGACAAACTTTCGTGCAATCAAATTTGCAACCATCTCTCTTTTCCTTTTCTTAACTACTCTCTTAAGTCTTACTAATGGAATTGATGGAGAAAAAAATGCTCTATAAACAATTTTAATTTTCACGTCCTTCGACAATCTTTTTATTTACGTGTTGGAGAATAAGTAAATTAAAGACAAATCAATTCTCTCTTTACATAAAGAAGAAATAACTCAAGAATATTTGAATGCTAAATCTAAAATATTTGCATTTTAAGATAATAATATATGTGTCTAAAAACAATGATATATAAAGATTGTGCGTTAAAACGCATTAAAACCTAACAAGAAGAGGCGGTGAGATGGTTAGCGAAGTTGGATTTGAATGGCAAACGAATTCTAGACTCCAACACTTCTAGCCTCTCAATACTTCTCAACCTCTAAAATTGTTGGTTTTTTTTTTTACAAGAACATAGAAGAAGATGAAAATTAGTAAGAATTGAGGGATAATATCTTGCCTTTTTATTGATTTTTTCTGATGTACATCCCTTGACCCCTTTGATTCACGTATTTAATATTTCTAGTTAAATAGTCTACGTTCAATTACTCAATGCAACTCTTCTAATTCTTCTATTTATTTAGCAATGAAGAGGCTTATTGTGTAAATTGTAAAGGGCCATTTTGATTTGATTCTATGAAATATTAAAGTAGAACACCAAAACATTAAATTGGTATAAAAAAATTGAAAAATAATGTTAAGGAAGTTGAAAAGAAACCAAAATATTGAATAGAGAACAGTTTAAGGAAGATTAAAAAGCTAGCAATTCTAAAACATTGAATATAGGGTGCTGTAATTGTGTAATAATTAAAATATTCCAATTTAATTAGAGTAGATATTTCATTTATTACATTAGGGTGCAGTAATTGTGTAACAATTTAATTATTACTATTAATTAGATTAGATATTTTTATTCATACAATATTTTTATTTAGTCAAAAGGTAAAATAGTAATTCGACTTTGAAAATAGGAGCTTCCAACTTTTAATTAATTAATTAATTAATTAATAATAATAATAATAATAATAATAATAATAATAATAATAATAATATATCGTGTTTTCTCTATTATATCCCACATATATAGTTGCATACTTTCTCTATAATTATATTTTTTGACAAATCAAAGTAGTCGTAATTGGAAAAATATGAACTAATATCCTACTTATTATTATTTAATGGGAAAGACTCAAATATATTATTGAACTTTGAGAAAAAAGGTTCATTTATGTCACCTGTTAAAAAATTTGCTCATCCATGTGTTTGAGAAAAGGCTCACCATTATTTTTTAACTCCAATTTTGCGAAATCATTTTTTACCTAAACAAGATCCTCGAACGACTTTTATCACTTCAATTGTGGTTTTTGAATCAGATGTACTCTTTTGTTTCATCTTCCTCAAGAACACATGATCAACAACATCAAGAACTCTCAAATTTTCAAGTTCTTCAATTCTTCATGAAATCACCTCAAATTTGGGTCACGTCATTATTTTTAATTTAAAAAAAAAATCATTTGTGGAGTTAAGAAAACCCATCTGTATTTAAAAAATTCCAAAAAAGCGGAATCCCAAAATTTGAAAATTTGCTTTGATTCGTTTTTTGGTTGTTGTTTTGACATTAAATCTTTGTTCCCTAGTATTTTTTTGAATCTATGTCCGAAATTTCAAGTGATTTAGGGTTGTGGAGAAACTTCTACCATTAAAGGATGTTGAAGTATTGAACAAATTTCAAGTGAGTCTTATTGAGTTAGGTTAAATTCTAGCTCAAAAGATATTGAGTTTGATATCTAGTTCGGAGGAAAACTACTCTTAAAATTTGAGGTGATTTCGTGAAGAAATGAAGAAGTTGGAAATTTGAAAGTTCATAATGTTCTTCATATGTTTTTGAGGAAGAAGAAGCAAAAAGAGTACATTTGATCCAAAGCTCCAATTGAAAAATGTTAAAATTTGTTTAGGGGTCTTGTTGAGGTAAAAATGGTTTTGCAAAGTCGGAGTTAAAACATAATGAAATGAATAATCTTTCTCAAACGACAATGTCATAGATGAACCAATCTTTTAACGGATGACATAAATGAGTATTTTCTCAAAATTCGATGATATATTTGAGCCTTTTCCCTTGTTTAGTTACATGAGAAATTATACTGATTAAAAATTTAATTTTTTATTTTTCTATATATGTAGCTTGCTTTTGTAGTAAGTCATGCAACGATATCTCCAGAAGTTTAATGAACATTAAGACAAAAGTCTTCAACAATTTGTGGTATAGCCACTATTAATGACATCATCTATGTGCCCTAATTGGCACATACAAAAGACCTCACTAGGTTTTCATATCTCCACTATGGTCCCCCCTTCTTTTCCAACTAATTTGGAATAATATATATCTATTTGCATTTTTTTAAAGTTATATTAAAAACAAAGAAAAAAACCAAACGGGAAAGAAGAGAGCAGCTCGTTTTTGCTGTTGTCGAAAGTGACAATTCCGATGAGTTTTTCGGCCAAAATATCCATTTTCAAGGTAATATCATCATCATCTCCTACTCCATCTTCATTTTTACTTCATTTTCTTTCAAAACCCAAGCTTCAAAATGATTTTTTCGCCATTTTAGAAATTTGAGAAATCTTCCATAATAATCACTTGATAACTCATTATGGATACATTTTAGTAGTTTAAAAGCATTAAAGATCTGTTTCGTCATTGCAGGAGCTGCATTTTTAACCACGATCTCATTCAGTCGCGTTTCTGTACGGATGTCAGACTTCATCGATTGTTAACGACTGATACTGTAATCTAGTATATATCTTTGTAGTCGATAATGGCAGTAACTGAATTTGTTGTTGTTGTTGGTGATTATATGGGAGTATGGGAGGAAACTCCCAAAATTGTATGAGGTGATTAGAGGTGTATGAGGAAGAGTTGTAGTTATACAATCAACATTCTTGTAACAATGTTTGAGAAAGCATAAGTATGATGTAAGGATGTTGATTGTATAACCACAACTCTTCATCATACATCTCTAATCACCGCACCCAATTTATGTGGACTCTTAAATGATCATATGACTTGTTTAAACTTATTTAATTGGATAAAGTTCAAAAATATTATTTATTATTAATTAATTGTTTTTTTTTAAATCCTACTAGTTTTTGGTTTATATATAAGCGTCATATTCTAGTACATGCAGTATCGACAATGCTTTAACATAGACATAAATCCGAATATACCTTACTAATGTCAGAGTGTAAATCTCAATGATCATACACATACCACATACATAGATATGCATCGATTGTTTAAGAGATCTATATATTTTAACAACCAGTACATATTTACATAGACAAATTTTACAACGGTAACAAAAGTTCAAATTCCACTTTTTCAACGGTAACATCTGCTTATTTTTTAGTATAAAAGGAAGGCAATTCCTCATAAACAACTCAAAAACCTCCATTTTTACAATGTCTCAAACATGTCAAACATCCAAAGCAAAAAAGTCTTAAAATTGTCATTGAGGTAATCCAGCTACGTTGAGGACGTCACACACCGATACAAATTCAGGTCGACAATTCTTTAATTGTGCAATTGGCATGTGCTCATGTTTTAGGTGGCTGAAAATGAATCATCAACGAGTAACCCATCAAATTTTCAAGGCATTGCCAAATTTGAATTATTAACAAAGCTACGGGAATCCAAAGAAAATAGAAATCTGCTAATGACTTTCTTAAATGAGGCCGAAGAGCAGAGAAATCACTTGAAAGTGTTGCTAAAAGATGCTGAAATAGATAGAGATCAACTAAAAGAAAGGTTGATTTTGGCAGAAGAAAAAGAAAAACGCCTAAAAGCTATATTGTATGGTTTATATTTGGTGTTTGCTTTTTGGAAATCTGTAACAAGTGTGTAACAAGTGTGTAACAAGAATGTAGTGCTGAATAAATAAAGTATTTATCTCTATTTATTGCATTGTTATATCTTTTATATTTGATCGATAATGTTATAGATCAATAGTGATAACAACTTATAGTATTAGACATACAAGTTTATTAAGAGATAGATTAATAAGAAATCTAAAAACCCTTCATAATATGTACTGTCCAATGTACATTTTTGTCGTCAAAAACAAGAAAACAACAAATCACTTTAACCATGTTTTTAAAAATCAACTTATCAAAAATCTATTGTCTTAAAAAAACCATATAAAAAAATCAATTGTCTTCAAACCAGGGAAAACCCAACTATCAGAAAAATAAATTGTCATAAAAAATGAACAACTTCAAAAATTGTTTTAAAATACTAGGGTATAACCATCACAAAAACCACAACTGCCCTTACTCATCACCACCAACCTCACCATTAAGCTCCATCACAATGCCCATCACGTCTATTTATTTTTCCACTTCTGCCACATCAGTCCAAGCTCCTTTCTTCTAACTTTTCCTCTTCTTCATTCTCTGTTATCTTTTCCTCTTGTTGTTCTTTCTCTTCTTCTCCACTTGCTTCGTTTTCTTCATTTTTCTTCTCTTCCAGATTCTCCTCTTCACTTTCTTCTTCTTTCTTTTCTTCTAGATTCTCCTCTTCTTTTACTTCATCGTTCTCTTCCATCTTCTCTTTTTTTTTTTTTGTCATCTTCTCCTCATCTTGTTGTTTCTCTTCTTCTTTAATCTCCTCTTCCTTCATCTCTTCATCAACTTCTTCAGCAAAGTATGCATCAACTGCAGCAAGATCATCATCGACTACAACTAATGGAAGGATGTTATCATCAACTGTTGGTGATGAAAAGTTGTCATCATCTACTGCAAGATCAGTGGCTAAGCATTAATACAAATACATTATTTTACATAATTAATATATAAATTTATCTACCTTTCTTTTTCTTTTCATTTCTTCTCAATTTCTCCCCTCGTACAAAAGTAACAATTTCCATCATTGATTGCTCGAGGGAAGCAATACGCTCACCCAGACTTTCATCTTTAGAAGTACTTGGTACATAATTCTCACAAGGTTAATTAGGATTGTGATCATTTGAATACTCATCCTCCACAGTACCTTCTGCAGAAGTGAGGACAGTGACACCTTTCAAACTGGCCTTTAAGTCATCAATGATTGTGTCCTTCACTACGTCCGTATATGGCTTTAATGTTGCCATATAATTTTGTTTGGTCTCACAGACAGTAGGTATGATGTATGGATGCACAACCTACAAAAAAAACATAAATAGTACAAGCCCTTCACAAATTTACAAATATTGCTAGATAATAATAAATAAGTTTATACCTTTGTACTTCACCCTTTGTACTTAAATGGATCACCTTCGATAATATTATCGCTCTTTGTTGTGTGCCATCTAAGTACACGGGGAATTGGCAAAGGAGAATCCAAGGACTTCTTTGCATAATTACCAAGATGAGGAAAAGCCTCATATATCCAAACTTGAAATTAATAAAATAATAAATAAATAAATAGAGACTATGAAATACTATATAAATATATAAGAGTTTAATATTAATCAACTCCATAATTGATAAAAATTACCAGAAATGCCTAGGGGAAGCCATACAAAGCATACGATGCATTCCCTCTTTCCCTGTACACTTCACTTTGTTTTTTTCAAATTAATTTTGTTCTTCAAATACTTCAGTGTTAAATCAAAACACTCTTTTCCCCATGGATAACACTTGCAAAAATCTAAATCATCAACCATCTTAATGTGGTTTGAATCCATAATCTTAGATCGATCGTGGGCAAGCAACATTGAGTGGACGAACCAACTAAAGAGCACTTCAACTTCTGCTTCTTATTCAATCTGGTACCCTTAATCAAACTCAACAACTTTGAACCACTGATATTCTTATTCCTGGTTACTTTATAGTAAAATTTACACCTTTCTGAAGCACTTTTTTTCATTTTTGCATCACGGGGGTATGCTGAGCAATTCAGCCCTGTAATCAATGCAAATTCTTTTAAGCCAAAACAAGTAGACTTATCATTCACACAAAACCACATCTCATGCAATTTTTTATCATTTTTGACATGACGCAACAACATGTAATGGACCATCTGTCCATTGAACTTGCAATATTCTGGAATATGCCTTAAATGACCTAAACAAATACCTTTAAAGTCATTATAAATTTTTTCTTGAAGTAAAACATTTCTAAAATCTTGAAAAAGATTCATTCTTGCTCTAACAAAAATTTTCGCTGGAAAAGATTCTAACTCATCCATCCATGTAGTGAGATTATAGGGCTTACCAGAGATTTCTTTTGCACAAGTTGGCAAGGACAGAAGATCACCATCCTCATCTTCAGTATCTCAGCTATCTCTATTAGTTTCCTCGTCCCCATTGTCACTATTCTCTTCACAAACTCAACCTCATCAGTAGCTTGGACACTACTGTCTTCATAGTTGTAGATTCATCCATCGTATCAAAATCCGAGTCATACTTGGGTTCTTCAACCACAACTTTTTTCTTTTTTGAACATCTTGAAACTTGTTCAGCCTTTCTTTTCTTGTTTTTACAAGGCTTAGGAATAACTTTTTTAACAATCCCACCTCTAGTTTTAGCCATAACCAGAGTAAACCTACAATAAAACATGAAAAATAAATAGCAGATACAATAGAAATAAAAAATGCGATTGACAGAAAACGCCACTAAAAGATGGCAATGAAAAATACTGCACATCAACTTCGTGTAACAACACATGTAATGAGAAAAAACAAGACCAGCAAAAGCAAACAAATACAACGGAGAAAAACAACAATCCACAACAAAAGCCAAAATTTAAAAATCAACAAGCGAGATAAATATAAATTATTTTTTTTAAAAAAAGCAACCAAATAGGGTCAAACATTTATATTCAAACAAAAACGTCATTAGAGACCACAAATATTCATGGAATACGGCAACAAATTTTCATCCTAAACAAGAACATGAAGAAAAACCGTCCAGAAAAAGGGTTCATTAAATCATTACACTACTATAACAAAATAAACAACCAAATACGACTAAAAATTACCGAAAAAGACCATTAAAGAAGAATCAACTTACCAAAGAAGAAACCTTTGAACTTAGAGAAAAAGCTTGAAAAAAACAGGTGACGATTTGACAGGGTTTAGGATGATGAAAATGGAGAAAAGTGTATGGGGAAGAGTAGCGTATGATTAGACTAGAAGAGAAGTGTATGGGGAAAATGAAGATGAAAAGCGGGACATAGCACTTGGAGAAGAAGAAACGTATCCTCATTTTTCATAAATAATTAATATTTTATCAGAATAATATATTGTAAAAAATGTATTGGGATTATAATATATTTTTGTAGTGTTATATTTTTTCCCTAAGTTTTAAAAATAATAAATAAACCCTGGACCCACATTCACAAACATACCCCAAGTTTTAAAAAAGCCAATCATACCCATGACCCCACACTTTTTCCTTTTTTAAAAAGTCCAACACTAGAAAATAAAGCAAAAATAAACTAAGTGGCTATAGAGTGAATTAAGTTTTAAAGGTATCCCAACGCCAATTCTTCTCTACTCTCTGCACCCAATTTAAGTTGTCTCTTTAGTTTGTGTACAAAATGGGTATATTGGGTAACTTTCTGAGATGAACACTTTTAATTAAAAAAAATAGTGCTCGAAGTGAATTTTTTTTATAAGCAAATCTTGAAAAATCTTTGAGAAGTGTAGAGAAAAGCATTGTCCACAACAAAGTGAACAAATCAACTTAGAAACTACTATGGTAGTGAAAAACTTGACCTTCTTGATAGGTCTTCGATATCGCCTTCTCTCATCGTTAAAGGCGCCGCAAGGCAGTTGACTAGAAGGAGTGGATGTTAGGTACACAGGGAAAAGACTTTGACTATGCGCTGGCACTAGCCCTGACATGGATTCTTCTTTGATTGAATGAACGGGACAGAAGAGAACCAGAACCATATCAGATTTGTTATTAGTTTTCCTGCTCCATGTGATTTCTTTCATCAACGATGATAGTTTCTTTCAAGTATGATGTTTATGCTTTTTTGCTTATTTTCTCCGCATATATAATTTGTTGCTGCTCTTTTAAATAAAGCGAACTACCTGGAATAATTCTCGATGATGGCTCTATCTGAAGCAATTTTCCCATAACTATGACACTTGCCAATTTTAGCAAATTCAAAACACTCGCATTGCAAGTTTGTGACAATTCCAACCAGTTAAAATACATTTCATAATTGGAAAACACTTCTTTTACTATGCACCTGTGATATTTGATTAAATGTCTAACTCATCTTATTTGGCAATAACTTATAGTGCTATCTGTCATATCTTCAAAGTTGTGTGTTTAATACTTGAGACAATAATTTGTTATGTTGATGTGCTTACTAATAAGAATGTCTTGATGCTGTCACGACCCGGGAGCACCCTTTAGTCGTAACATGGCGTAGTTGACCCCAAAGGGGTCGCATACAAGCCCTTAGCACATTCTTAACATAAGATAATAGAAAATATAGGAAAATTGAAAACTTTTACAATCGAAGTCTTATTTCATAAAGCAAGCGGAAGTCTTACTAAAACCTTTGTCTCAAACCATCTATTTAAAATCATGAATAAAAGTCTTTGGGACGCATCCCATGCAAAGTCTAAAAACATAAAGAAATGCCATAAGGAAATAAAGGGTTCGTCCTCGAAGCTATGAGGACTCACCAATTCTTCTAAATCCTTGAAACTCTAGCCTCCAACCCTACATTTGGTTAGAATGTAGGCAATATGCGTTAGTATAAAATGTACTAAGTATGAAAGCTAACACAACATCATAAGAGCATCTCAAATGGTTAGTCAACATAAGACATAAGCATAAGAGACAATAACATAATCACAATATAATCATCATAGTCATAGCATGGTCTCCAATATAAGCATCATATAAACACAAGTCACATAAGATATATTTAATGAGCATAGGAGATACATCATATTCATGGCCTAGTCTTTAATAAGACTTTCATGGTTACATACTTCAACCTTAAGTCCTTCATGGTACAAGAGAACTACTTTACAAGCCACCTCCAAGTATACATGTCCAATGCAAGGATAGCATCCCATACTACCATCCAAGTTAAGTACCTCTCTTTGGTCATTTTTGGTCATAGTCCACCTTCACATTCAAGGCTTAGGTCTTCATGTCATTTTAACCTTAACCTCTATACATGGTCAACTCTTAAGTTTTTCTATGCCATAAGGGTATAATACTTCCAAGTAACCTCAAGACACACTTGTGCAATGCATGAAAGGCATCCCATACTACCCTTCACACTAAGTATAGCCTTGAAGTCATCCTAGTCATATTCACCCTACTTTGGCCTCCTTATTAGCTTACCTCTCATAACTAAGGGAATCTCTCACCTTTAGTCAACTATAACTAGGAAAGGCAACTCTAGTCCAATCCTATCTCAAGACTTCTCTTTAGTGACCCTAAGTCATACTTGTGCAATGCATGCATAGCACCCCATAATACTATACATGTTAAGTACTACCTTTAGGTCGTCATGCTAACTTTTCTTGGTTTGGAACCTAGTTCCTCTCTTAACTTTAGAACACTATGAGATACTCTCTTAGCATATCTTAGTTCATTAATAACTTGAACCCTATGAGGTGCTATCTTAAGTATGTCTAAGTTCATTACTAGCATGGATACTATGAGATACTTACTTAAGCATGTCTAACTCCATTTATACTTTGAACACTATGAATTACTTCATTATGTAAGTCTTACTTCATTATACTTTGAACACTATGAGATGTTTCTCAAGCATGTCTTAGTTCATTATGTTTTGAACACTATGAGATGTTTCTCAAACATGTCTTAGTTCATTGGATATGGAGATTACTTCTAGGAACCTTAACATAACTATGTGAAGGATCCCATCTCATGAGACCTAACTTTGGGAAAACCCACATTCTACTACGTAAGAGTTCCCCTTTTAACTTGGATAGTCCTCACATCAACTAGGTGTGACTCTCCTTTCTTCTTGGTGTCCGGACCCTATCGTGTGTGACACTCCATATCATTGTCAATATCCACTTGGAGCCAAGCATACACCCCGAGGTTTACTTGTTAAGACTTTACTTAACACTCATCTCTCATGGAAGGATGTCCTTGACAACCCATCTATGCTAAAGTGATTCTATCACTTTCATTTATCAAGCATTCATAAGGTAGGTTAGGTGAGTATAGGCCTTTCACCACAATTCAACCTATTAGACTTCTATTCTCTTTTAGACTTTACTCTCAAAGCCTTAACATCACTAGGTAGTCACATTAGCCTTACCCTAAAGCCCTAACTATCATGATCACAAACCCTACTCTCATGTTTTCTTTCTTCATCTCTTCTTTATACCTAGATTTCAAGGTAATTTGATCACTTCTTTCATTACCTGGTGATTCTAGTCTTAATTGATCCTAAAGGTTCAATTCTAACTTTGCAAGTCAAGATCAACCATATACAATAGAATCTAGTTCAATTCATGATAATATGATCCTAACTTTGATCAATTACAACACACAACATTGAGTTAGGAAGATCACATATGAACCTTCAACTTTGCCTCTAATTGCATAAACCCACAAAGATTACATTCATCAACTTAGATTAGGGTTCATCATAGAAATAACATGAATTCATCATAATATCATTAAAAAAGTACAATTCAATCATAATTGGATGTTATCCACTAGATTGGAGTCACACCCAAGCCCTACCCACAATGTAATCACAACCTTAGCTAGAATTGAGTTTTTGAGTTCACAGTTGGGGGGAATCTATGGGGGCTCCATGGGTAAAAGAACCCATTTATGAATAAGCTTCACATACCTTTAACCACAGCCTTAAACTAAGCTTGAATCAATGGTGAATTCGTCCTAGAAGCTGCCCTCTTCTCTTCTCTTCTTCTTTTACTTCTTCAATTCTAGAGAGATGATATTTTGAGAGAGTTTTGGGGTCTTTAGATGGGTGAGTTAGAATGATTAGTTTAGGGTTTATTTAAGCTTATATAGGTGGTTAAATAACCTATTAACTGACCTACATTAACCCCTAATTAATAACTAACCCAACCCCTAACTTCTAACTTAAAACGAAAAGCTGAAAAACTGGCAGCATCTACGTTTGGCCATCCATGGATCGTAGATTGATTTACTGTCCGTGGTTTGGTCTCATGATTTGGGACTGACAGTGCTTCACTATTTCGGGAATAACGTTTTACTTCGAGATCGGAATTAGGCAAACTCGATGGCGTGGACTGGTCTAAGGGGCGTAGATGGGAGTCGTAGGTCATGCTATTTTTGACAGCTTTTGGGCAGTGTTGGGGTCCTCCTCAAGGACCCCTAGGGTGGTCCTTGGGGAGTCTTACCCGAACGTTTAACCCCTAAACATGATGTTCTAAGTATAGGAGTCACTTCTACAAGTTTTCACCCTCATACAACACTCCAAACTTCAACGACAAGACACTATAACACACTAGCTCAAATGACTAGTTTCCGAAAGTTATAGTTGTTTCTTGACATTTGACCTCTAAAATACTCAACCTAACTTGAAAAGCCACTTTACATCATTTAAACCTTACCTTGGCTCAAAACAACCTCTTTAGCCTCTAGTTTCACGTACTAGATTCCATCAAATAATAGCTAGGTCTAACTAGGTTCTACAGGGTGTTACAGATGCAGAGTACAAAAGCATTTTATAGCGATGGTGACCCAATTGAAGTGCAATGATAAGGTGAAAACTATGCATCAGAACTTGGTAAGCATATCAAACATTATATCGTTGATGACACATTATGTCATACAAATGTTAGTCAGTGGAGATATCTAAGTATGGTTCTTCTCATGTTTGAAGCAATATGCGGATTGGAGAAAACTGGGCAAAGAACTTGGCATTCCCTATTAATGAAATAGATAATATACATGAATTTGTAGGAATTTTTTTTATGAAATATGTAGTTTTTCAACTACTTATTTGGGCTTCTATAGGAACAAAACGCAAGGCTATTGAGATATGAAACGGTGTGATGAATAGACGTGAAAAAGAAGAGTTGATGTATGACTCATGTTGGATGACAATGTTATAAACTATTGTAAAACACTTTTAAGATGTATGACTCATGTTGGATGACAATGTTATAAACTATTGTAAAACACTTTTAAGATGTATGACTCATGTTGGATGACACTGTTATAAACTGTTGTAAAACACTTTTAAGATTATATAATTATATTTACTTCTCACAAATATATATCAGGTAAAGATGATCTTTTGCTATCTTCTTTATGGAGAGCACATGAAAATGTGCCTTCAGTTTAGATACTTTCCCTCAATACTATAAATATAGCACGCAAGTTGAATGAAATGGGAAAGGAAAAAACGAACAGAACCAAGAGATACATCTAATAAAGTGGGACTATGTCACTTTGAACAAGAAAATAGTAGGTTTAGGAATAAATAGAATAAGTGTAACAAATTGTAGCTTACTCATGAAGTGGTTATGAACATATATAGTGAAATAAGAGGCCCTTTGGAGAAAGATGATTACAAAAGTGTGGGGTAGAAAAATTTAATGGTGCATAAATAATTTAATGTACGATTTGTTTCAGGTGATGGAAGAAAAATAGTATTCTGGCACCACTAAAAGATCACCTACTTTTATTTTGAGTTCTTCTGAAGTAAATTTCTTTGTGATTCAAAGATGTTTGATATATCATATACTTGCCAATTAGTACTTTGGATCCTTGCTCACTAATAATTATATTCTGACTGAGGTAAGGTGATCAAATAACAATCAAGGTCTAAAACATAACAACAAGCAGGCTAAACTATGAGAAGGGTTGATTTCGGATTCTCATAATTTTCAAGTCCTTCAGGTACAATTTCACATACTTTTTCCAGGCTCTTTAAATTTTGGCTCCTTTTTCTTAAAAAAGAATTATAATGTTCTATTTTGTGTACTGTTAATGGTAAGTGGCGGATTATGATGTTGCGTTTTGTATTTAGAGTTGTTCTTGGATATAGTATTGGGATGCAAAACTTGAAAACACTTCAACTCTAGATTTAACTTTAATAAGTGATGTAGATTTCGTTTGTTATTTTTGTAGTAACTTCTATCATATATGTATTATAAGAGGATGATATAAAATAGAATGACTATTAATGGCTAAGAACGATTAGATAATCTTCACTTATATTAATTTACCTAATGGATAGATTTAATTATGAGCTCAAATAAAGATCATTCAATATAACTAACTCTATTTTGAAATTTCCCATAGCATGTGGCAGACCATCTTGATTTTTGTTTCCTTAATGAAGTACTATGTGTGATAACTTGACACACATAATATCCAATGATTAAGTTTCCACATTTTTGTGATTGTACATATGAAATAGGTTTTACTTTAAAATTTTGTTATTCAGCTTTTGATTTATTGAATTGAAAATCTCAAGTCAAGAGTAGTAAACTAGATGAAAGGGCAGAAATGCAGTTATAATATGTTTTTATCTGGAAAGAGAGACTCAAATTTTTAATGTTAAGAAGTAAGGTTATTGAAAAATCGGCTTTGACAGATCATATACCGTCTCTCCGTGTCATCATCTTTAATTTACTTGAGGTTTATTATCATTTTATTAGATCCAAAAGCTATAATGCCCAAGTACAAGAATTTAGATAGCATCAATTGCTGAGATCAGTGAAATAAACTGCATACTAAAGTATATGATCATACTTTAACAGGCCAAGAAAAAAGTAATCTATCCATAATATCTGAAGGTAGCTTCCTCTTAAGGGTAGCCAAAGAGAAAAACAATGTGATTAAGACAACACATGTAATTTTATTTTTCTCACTCTTTTATCGACCTATTGGTTAATACAAATACTATTTTAGAGATAAATTCTCCTTCACGCTTACAGATTATATTACGTATCAATAGAAAGAAGAACTTGTGTACCTAAATATATACCACACCCTTGCAAATTTATCTGGAATAGAGTTTTTGACTCAGTTGCTAAGAGAGGACTTAAGCAAATGTGTACCTTTAATTTATAAGATGTTTTTTGCTTAGTTAACATGTATGAAAAGACAAGTAGATAAAATTGAAAGTTCAATCCTAAAGAACCACTTTAACAGTTTAACTTTCTCCTGTCTAAATATTCTATTTTTATACATATTCTTTTTTACAATCTTGGTATAAATATTCAATTTGTGCAAATATTGAAGTTGATACACTTAACATGAACTTGTGCTGGTGTGTGCGCTTTTCAATAATTGCAGGAACAACAAATAGTAATATTTGGGCAAAGAAAAATAAATGTACAAAGAGTTGAAAGAGTTGATGTCCCTATGGCACATCGGATAGTTCAGAAGTTGTAACATCGCTAAAGTAGATAGTTCGGAAGTTATGACACTTTTTTGAGCATTTTCCTTTTTTTCCTCCCTCCTCGATATTTTGGGGTGCAAGTTGTTTGTGTTGACTCAACATTTTAATGTCTTCTATTTTATCGACAATTTGGTATTGTATAATGTATATAATCTTCATATTGACTGAACATACTTTGTTTAATTCTATAACGTACTAGATCGTCCTTACTAATACATACTCATAACTTGAACAAATCAATTCCTTGTGATTAATGATTTACATAATGTTCAGTGACAATTATTCTCTATGAAGAACACATTAATTATGTTGGGCCCGTGCTTAACGGGCTATGCCCCTCTAGTGTATAAAGCTCCAAAGTAAAAAGTTGAATTACCATTTTACCCTTACACTAAATAAAAATTTAAAATTTAATCTTAATATCTTAATAAATAATAACATTTTAATTGTATAAACGTAGCATTTAAAGTCCAACAACTACCATTTTAATATATAAGTAGTACTTATTAAACCAAGGGAATAATATTAGATGCACTGAAACCGAGTAAGTAATAGATGGTTCATTTGCCAGTAATTATTATAGTAGCATATTTCTTAATAGTAAGTAAAATACAACCTTTTCTCATTCCAACATTTATTAGTCTGAAGCTTCTACTGTTATATGGATGATTGGTTCATCTACCAATAATTATTATAACATATTTTTTAATACATAGTAATTTAGATTACAATCCTTTCACAACATTTCTTATTTTGAAGTTTCAGTCCATTACACAATTTATTCATTCATAATCATTAATCCTTTTGACACCTTAGTGTCAAATCACATAATCTTTCTCCAATCTTTCTTCTTTTGTTGGGAAAAATATTTTCTTCTGCAATTTTTATTTATTTTTTTCCAATTTTGTTTTTTTTTTTACTTTCCATGTATGAACCTCAAAATATTTTTGGATGTTCTTTTGAAATTTGATTAATGATTTGAAATTTTGCAGATGGAATAAGATCGTTTGCAATCTAAAGGTATTGATATTTTCCTTCCGTCAAAGACATGTCGCTAGAAGTTTTTCTTCTCTACTCAAATGTATATCTTCTATGTTTTTAATTTTTTAGCAAGAAACTAAAATAGTAGTATAAGAAATACACGATCTACCACTCACAATTAGTTTCAAGGGATATTTGAATTTATGTTCCCTATTTTGTCGTTACAAATAACAATAGAATATACATCTTTTTTATGATTTTAAAGGAAAATATAAATGTTAGGATGCAAATCGTTAAAAAATGAATGTAATTGAAAAGGATACAAATATATGTTAGGTAGGGGCACAAAACACAAAAACTTCTTCCTACTTTTAAGTTATTGTTGATCAATTGGTATAATACCGGCTTCACTGTATTTGTAGTTGAATCACATTTCCATGTTTGTCATGATTTAAATACTACAATCATTTTTTTGTTTTTAAAAAAAAATTGATAACAGTTTCTTGTGTCATTATAATGAATCACACATAGAGTAGTTCAAGAATCACTAAAAATTCTTTGAAAAATAAAAGAACTCAGTATGTACTTTGGTTTTAGAGTATGATTGTAAGGAAATATTCACAAAACAATCTACTCTCTTCCTTTGTTCTATCAAAAACTGTAAATGGTAAACAGTTTTATTTTAAAAATTTGGAATACACATGCGTTGCACGTGTCCAGAACTAGTATAAATATAATTCTAACTAGCTACCAAACAATTTTATAAAGTTTATTTCAATTTCTTATGTCTGGTGCAGTAGGTTGCTATAGCACACACATATTCATAGTAAAAGTAGTCATAATTTATTTGTGGACCATTTAGTTTATTACACCTCTTAGGATTTAAATTTAGCCATTTTGTTAGGCGTCTTCATAAGGTAAAAAGGCGATTTGATCATCTTCAAGGAAATGACAAATTGTCGTAGTTCCAGGCTTAACATTAAGCACTACAAAAGGCAATCCTTTCGGATTCCAAAGAGATGTATCTTTGTGACATATCGATACTGCTTTAACTTTTGTTCCATCAACACCAATCATCGATACCATAAATGTCTTCGTAATTCCTCCACCATGACAAAAATGTACTGCATACGCGTAGTTAAGTTTGTGGCATACCATGTTAACCCCCTCACCTATTTGTTCAACTTCTTCAATAGTGTATTTTTGCAACAACATTTGATTTTCCCCTTGTACTTCCGTTGCAATTACCTTAACATTGTTTGTTCCAAGCATGAATATCCCAAAATCTACCATAGACTCCAAAGAAGTTGCACAATTTTGCTTTTGTCCTTTCTTCGTTGGCGATTCACAAAATTTAATTGTTTCCTTGATTGTTTCAGCGTCCTTTGAACTATTTATTGAGAAATGGTTTAGGATTTCTGGAATTTTTTTCGATGAGAAGGGAATCGATTCAACAAATTGTCTAGGCCAAATGGGTGCTTCGTTTTTATTTTTTAGAGAGGGAAAATTGATGATGTTTCCTTTTTCCAAGTCGTTTTCTAAGAAGAAAGGTTTGTAAAGGAAATTATTATCTTGAAAATCACTATTAATACTTTCTTCAATTACTTGTCGAAGATGTGCATTTGGGGTTTCCCTTTTTAGGTTATGAATCTCTTCATCAGTAGCAGCACTAAAAACCCAAATTCCATGTTGGTGCAAACCATAATACACTTTCTCCTTTGTGTCACCAATGTCATTCTCTGTGGCAACACAATAACAATTATTTCATACATAAAATAGTACGATTAATTTTCTATTTAAATGGACTGACCTTCAATTTTTATCCTTCAGATGAATAAGTGTTTAATTAATGCCCCTCGCAACTGAATTTATATTTAGTGGGGCATAAGGTCTTTTAAGAAATTGAAAAGCCATGTGAAAAATTATGATACAATAATATGAATTTATACATCATAAAAAATTATTTATTACAAGTAAAAATTAAAAACCAACACCAAATAGAGGAAAAAGTGCAAGTGATCACCCTAATGATTTTTCTCCAAATAATTGAATAATGGAGGAAAAAGTGCTAGTTACCCTAATGATTTTTCTCCAAATGGTTGAATAATGATCAAATTAAGTTGGCTTCAAAAATAGTTTAAGTAAGAAAAAGAGTAATTTGATGGGTAACAAAATGGACAATCATCTAGCCAAAGTTCATCTGGCTGAATAATTATTTTTTCAGATCCAATCGATATGGTATTATTTCTCTCAGAATAAGAGCTTGTTTGGCATTGCGGTTAGGATATCAAACTGTCTAATCGTTTGGTTGGGAACAAGATTAGCTATCCTGAGATAACTTATTCCACCATGTATATGGGATAACTTATCCCATTACTATGATATAAATGGTGGGATAAGTTATCCCAAATATGGCAACCAAACAAGATAAAAAAAAAAATCATCCCATCACTATTTCCTTATTCCATCACTATTATTTTTAATCTCTCACACCAAACGACCCCTAAGTTCTAGAGACATTAAATGTCACTAATTGGAAATATCATTCACCGGTCAATGACTATTTCTTCCTTCGTCTTAATTAACTTGTTTACATGCTCCTTAAAAATATTAACAGGATGCATGCATATTATTTGTTTAATTAACTATAGTAAACATTTCTCTTATTTTTTTCTGTGCTAGAATCTTTTTCACTGTCATAGATTTATTTTTTGCAAATTCATTTCGCAACAAATTAGCAATAAATTTCTAGATTTCAATTAAATTTTAATTGAAATTTCACAAGACTAATTACTCAATGACCGTTAAATTAACTCCCTCAAACAATATCTATCGACTCAAACTAAGACTAACCTGCTTGGGAAAGAAAATCTCTGATCACTTTGGGCATACGAGTGTTGGGCAATTTTATTTTCCAATAAACCTCCGGAGATATAGCTGCATCACTACTTGCTACAAAAGCTAACTACATATGTACAACAATAAACAATTTTGTTAACTTTCAGAATTAAATGATAACTAGAAAAAGATGAAAATTAATTAAATTGTGAACGATAAAAAAGCAAATATATACATATAAAGAAAATACAACTCACCACACAAATTGTGAGGGAGTAAAGTAGCTGAAACTTCATTGTAAATCTTTTGTATGGAACCACAATAGATAAATGTCCATTATTTATAGGCATAGACTAATTATATTATACACTACCCACTTGGTGAAAATAGAAATTAAAGATTAATACTGAAGAGCTGGAATTAATGGCCTTGAAAATAATATCTTTTTCTCAAGTTGAACCCTAGCTATTGGACATGCAATTAATTGAAGAAGGTTCATCATCTATCCATTACTCTGTTCGTTTATATTTGACTTGGCACACCCTCTAAAAATATATATTTTCTTTATCTTAAATTATATTTTGTAATTCTTGAAATAGTTATCTCAACTTTATTATTTTAAAATTTCAAGATAAAATCAATATTTTTTCTCATTTAATCCTTAATATTAACTGTTTTTAAGGACTATAAACACTTTAATTATGGAGTGATGATACTAGAGTAAATATTCAATGCAAAGAGATTATATATTTTTAAAAGGATAGAATAATTAAAATTCTCTTAATTTATAATTTTTCAAGGAACGTGTAAAGAAGAAAACACAACAAATAATTATATTTGAGCCGGAGAGGATAATAAATAAAATGACACTTTTACTATATCCATTCTAATTATTACTCATACATTATCTCTCATTGAAATATGATTGAAGTGAGTTATGATAATAAGGATAAAATAAATATAAATTGATAAATTATGTATTATTATTTTATTTAAATTGAATAAATAAAAATGAACGGAGGAAATACTATTAGAATGACAAGCATTTTGAATTAATTATTTAGAAAAAAATCTTGTTAGGTGAAAAAGATCGAATTAGATAATAGACTATATATTACTTCCTCCATTTCACAAAGAATGACTTGGTTTGACTTGATATAGAGTTTAAGTAAATAAAGAAGATTTTTGAATTTTGTGGTCCTAAATTAAAATTATGTCAAATGTACAAAATTGTCCTTAATCTTGTGGTCTTAAACATGCCACGTGAAAAACAAAAAGTAATATGTTATCAAAAAAGAAAAAAAATCATTCTTTTTTAAACTGACTAAAAAAAAAATGTCATTATTTGTGAAACGGGGAATATTAGAATTTGTGTTTTCAAATGTGGCGGCTAAGTTGCAACTTGCAAGGAAAAATTGCCACCTAAACTTGCACTCATTTGTTATCTCTCTCTATACTAGATACTAGATACAGGACCGTGCTAGCACGAGTCGAGTTCAATATATGTTACTTTCTCTGTTGATTTTTATTATTATGTTATATTTTCTAAAAGTCAATTTGATTAATTTTTAAAGTTAAATTAGATTATATTAATTTGATATTTTAAATAAAAAATTTAGATACTCAAAAATTATATGAAAAGTAATATAAATTTCAATTTTTTGCATATCAATATGATTAAAAAATATATCGTAAAATATTAGTCAAAGTTATTATTGTTTGACTCTAAAAAATGAAACTATGACAATTAAAAGTGGATGGAAGCAGTATATTTTACAATTTATGTGACATAAATAAAATTTAGAAAGTCAACTGAAATTTTATATGATATTTAGATATTTTAAGTCGTTAACTATTGTAATTTATGAAACTATAACAACTAAAAGTGGACGGAGACAGTATTTTTTAGTTTCAATTTATGTGACATAAATAGAATTTGGAGAGTCAATTGAATTTTAATATGATATTTAGATATTTTAAGTTGTTAACTATTATGGTACTTATTTTACGTAAGTTTTAACTAATACTATGTTACTCTCTCTATTCCATTTATGTAGCACTGGTAGAAATTTGATAGTCAATTAAATTTTTTTATGTCTTTTAACTTTTTAAATTATTAATTATCGTGACTTATATTATTTTTATGTCATTTTTTTCTAACTTTCTCTATCCTAATTAACTGAATGTTTTTAAATATTTTAGACCAATTATTATTGTGATTTATAATATTTTTATATAATTTAATAAAGTTACCACAATGTCGTCGTTTGAAACATGTACAAAAACATCCAGGATTAAGTTATTAATGCAAATATTTAATTAGCAATTATAATTATCAATATAACTACAGTAAGTGTAAAGTTGGCCCCACAAGTAAAAAGAGATAGTCTCAAAAAGGCAGTAATCACACGTATATGGAGCACAATGCAAGTGGGCCCACATATTCAGTAAAATTGTCTAGAAGCATTCAAAAGATAGACTTTAAATAATTGAAAATAGTACTCCCTCCGTCCTATTTTATGTGAGGTAGTTTGACTCGATACGAAATTTAAGAAAAAAAGGTAGACTTTTAAAACTTGTGATCCAAAATGAATGATAGAAATTTGTGTAGCTGTAAATCATTTTATTAAGGGTAAAATAAACATTTTATAATTAAATTATTATTTAATATATAAATATATCATTCCTTTTGAAATTGACTAAAAAGGAAAGTAAGTCAATTTAATTGATACAGAGGGAGTATGACTTTAAGAAAATGCACATCCATGTAACGATGAAGTAAAAAAAAGTTAAAGCATTAAATTTTTGTAAATACCAAAATAAGGGTATCTCCAACCCAATCCTTTATTTTACTCTCCAAATATAAAACTTTCTATTTTTTCAGATAATCAACTCCAACTCAATTCTCTATTTTACTTTTTTAAATGATTTTATTTCTCTCTCCTCAATATTATATTATTATTTTTATTTCATTCTTATTTTCTTATTTCATAATATAAATTCTTTATTTTTTTCCCAAATAATTACTTTATATAATTTTTAATGTGATATGAAATTATATTTTATTCTAAATTTTTAAATAACATAAATTGCAAGAAAATATAATATAATACATAAATTAGGGGACAAATTCAAATAAAAGTGACATACAATTACATAAACACTCAATTTTCAAAATTATTACGTTGCTCCCATAAATGCTCTATTAATGCATTACGGAGTTCAAAATGAACATTTTTTGTTCTTAATTTTTTTATGTCTAGCTAAAAATTGTTCAAACCGGAGATTTTCATCTACCACCATTTCTATAGTTGGAGTTGGAGCCTCTACGGCATCTTGAATTGGTGCATTGAGATCACGTTCATCCTCAATTATCATGTTGTGCAATATAATACATGTATTCATTATATCATGTAGTATGTGTCGTGATCTTTAATGCCAACATTCTAAACACAGTGGTGATTTTTTGCAAAGTAGATAATCCAAATCTACCCAGCACATCAATGCGTTGTTCAAAGTACGTGTCGTGAACGACGGCGAAATATTGCATCATTAAAGTGTGGTGTGGCTGAAAAATAATCACGAAATAAATTATCATCAGCCGCCTCACGATCACGATTGATTACCACATGACCTGAAATGGAGCCACCTATGAAAACTTCATTAGTATGATTTTGTAGACTTGTTGGAACATGTATTTGTTCATACATAGATGATTTATTAAATTATCATGATGTTCTGTACTAGGAAAAAAATTTCAAATCTAAGGAAGATGATGACGAAGAAGAAAAATATTCATCATTATTATTAGAACAATCTCTAAGATTGAAATTCATTTTCCAAAGGACAAACCAAATTACTTGAATATGTTTTGAAATGAAATGAATGTGCAGACTTCAAGTGGTAAATGGTGTTCATTATATAATATGTAATGTTTTATCTAAAATATATTAAATGTACTGATGAGAATCTCATCCAACCGTTTATAATAAGATGAAATCCATCTAATGGTGAATATGAAGATTACATTTTTAAATTATTGTTGTGATCAATTATGTATTGTATTTTATCTTGTATTTAAATTATTATGTTATGTATTATATTGTATTGTTATCTTGTATTTAAATTATTATGTTATGTACTGTATTGTTATCTTGTATTTAAATTATCATATCATGTATTGTATTTTTAAACTAATTTTTTTCATCTTGCCATTTAAATTTTGCGTACTCTTTATAATTAAAATTAATAATAAAATAAAATTTTATTATTCACTAAAATTAGAAAAAAAACACTATTAATTTGAAATTAAAATAGTATATATTAAATAATATTTTTAAAAATATTATATTACATTTAAAAAATAATTATGAATATTAGATATTTAATTAATGGAATTATATGTAAAATAATATGTTAATTAGAAAGTAAATAGAAATAATAATAAAATAATAAAAAAGTGAAATAGAGAGTGTGAATAATAGTTAATATTCACCTCCTAAATTTGAAGAATAGATGGTGATTTGGAGGTGGGTTGGAGTGTTCATTCTCTATTTTACTCTCCAAATATAGAAAATGGAGAGTAAAATAGAGGTGGATTGGAGATGATCTAAGACTTGGTCGGTAAGCTGGCAAGACACTTGAGAGGTGCTTGTCAAGCCACTTATATATATAGAGAAAATAAATACATATAAAACTCACAACTTTTTCATTTAAAATACACTTTCATATTAGTAACATATGTGATGTGATTAGGGTCTCAAATGGACAAGTTGAACTGAAATTAGAGAGATTAAAATGAGTTTGAATTAAAAATTAGGTTAGATCATGATCTATTTAAATTTATTTTGGATTAAAATTGATTAAGCTTAAATGGGCTGAAAATCTGGTTGCGATCCGCTCAATTTGACTCGCTTAATTTTAACAATTTTAACATATCAATGTAATTTAGCTTTTATAACCACAATTTGAATTTCAACCGAAGAAAATAAAAAGTAAGTTCTTGATTTTGAAGTGGAAAGTTACCATACATTATACCAATCAAATAAACATACATTTATGATGACTCACTTAGCATGTATTCTATGAAAAAATTATTATTTAACTTTTTGAGATTATTTTGGTCTGAGAAAAGCAAATTTTAATTTACAAATAAAAACAATGGATAAATAAAAGAGATAATATTTCATACATTCAATATAGGAACATACATTACTCAATGCAAATAAAGAATCTTAAACGGGTTGAATTTGATATTAAATTAGACTCGTTTTGACAACCCTAAATGTGACTGAGC